CAAGCCTCATCTAATTAGCGCGAGTCCAACGTAAGGAATGACGATCGAGGCTCCCCCACCGCTAACGAGCACCTCCTGCCCCAGCAGGAACTTTTGAGAGGAGCCCTAGATTAATTACTTCCCGGTGAAAGGGTAGCGCTCCTGCATCCCCGCTGACGAAGGCGTGAGTATTTAACAATCCGCCGGTCATTAACGATCTCCTCGTTTCCCCATCCAAGCTATGGCGCGGGTGTTCGGCATGTGCCGGACATAATGCCGACAGCCGGCAGTGTTCAGGAGCAGGGGAAGCGAAACGCCGATCGGCAGAGCGGAAAATATTTTTGGGGAGGAATCCCCTGAAGAGAGCACCTGCCTGCGGCTGGAGACGGCGCGGCGATCTCCCGGCAACGTGGCCCCCGGCGGTGCCTCTGCCGAACGCGTTCGCTGAGTTCACGCGGTGGGACAGAAATGAGGGGGCGGCTGGGGGAGAGGGTCTCCCCCCAAAAGTCGCCCTCTGAGCGGACACCACAAAACCCCTCGGCTTGCCGGCTGCCGGAGCCGGTGTTTGCCACGCTGCCCGGTGCGGTAAAATCCTGGCCAGCTCGCCGGCCTGCAAGAAATACACACAGGTTTTTGTAGAGGTGAAACTACCGGGTTCACCTTCACCACAAGGTTGGCGGTGCCCTGGAGGGCTCCTCGGTGACCACCGGTGCCCCTGCCACGTCTCCTCGCCCCTCGTGCCGGCGGAGAGGAGGTAAGGAAATGGCGCAGGAACCCCGAATTCTCGGTGCATGAAGTTGAGCGGAGTCGCTCACGGGATTTGGGGGGAAATCAGCCCGAAGGAGGAGGTTTCCTCTTTGCCGAGCTATTTGTGCCGCTGCTTTATGCCCAATGGATAATGCTGTGCCGTTTGCTCGCACCAACATCTCACCAAAACACCCGGACGGAAGGTCACGCCTTACACGCCCTAAAGCAGCGCAGTTACCGCCGGCTAAACGAGGATTACGGTTTTTCCCATCTTGCGCTGGTTTAACCCCAACCTCCCCGCCCAAGGGCCGGTGAAATTTTTAGGAC